AAAAGTGTGCTGATTTTGGGGCGGAATGCAATAAATAATGGAAAAGTTGACAGGATCTCTTTTCTAAATTTTGCTTTTCTGCTGCCGAGCTGCGAGGCCTCCTTTTACGGAATACTCGATGACAGGTGATCTCTAAGTTGACCGGTTTCCTTCGATTCATTTGCTTATGTTCACCTTTCATTTACGGAAACGTGTGCTGACTTTATTCGGATTTAGATCCATTTTTATCTCTTTGCCCTTGTCTACAGTGTGCGAAGAACGCGAGTTCAACTTCTTGACGGTAAGGGTTATGTTAGATGTGTTGTCGAAATACTCATATTCATTGTACATTGGTACGTTACAAGTAAGGCACTGGTCAGTAGCATACTATCGTTGGCAGTTCCCAATCTGGAGGGAAAGGTTCAAGTACCAATTGACCGAGTTTGCAAAATAAATTCGCATATCAGGGGAAATCTCTATTGTGGAGAGGTTCAGTAACTTGTTTGTTTCATACGAAACAAGCCAATGGGTGCAGTCTCGTCTCGTGAAAATCTCGTACTTGTATGATTGGATTTGTTTAGTCAAGTCTGGGCTGTTTGATTTGTGAGTACCGCCGAGATTGCACTGCCCCAAATAAAGTTTCGTGCCGCCAAAGCAAGAATTACGATCTGCAATCTGTTTGTAGTACCTGTAAGAATGTGAAGTACATGTATCGTACTTTCTCTGTTGCTGTTTCAGTTGCCGTCATGTTGCTAAAGAAAGGTTCAGTAGAGAGGTTCTGCAAAACGAAAATTCGAACGAAGTTTCGCGACAGTCCTTGCGAAAGTGTGTGCGAATTTTTGCACGAACTTTGCGTTCTGCACATTTTCGTAGTTTGCGCGGGCCAAGTGCCATGACCCGATCTCACGAAATTTCCTACGACAGTTCATTTCGCGTTCCCTGCAAGTTTCGCGTCCAAAGGTCCGAAGTTTCGCACTTCATGATGTAGAGCGAAAGTTTGTACGCATTTTCGTTTTGCAGAATCTCTCTAGTGACTCAATTGTTTCATACGAGACGAGTCAATGAGTCGGTGTGGCTTAGAATCTTTCGCTGTAGAAGAAATCTATTCGTATGTCTATTGGAGATATAATTGTATTCTCTGGTTATAAAATAGGTTAAGCTCACAGAATAAATACCATCGGTCCCTTGGAGTTCGTAAAGAGGTTCGACTGGATATCATTCATTCTCACCAAAAGATGTGTAAGATTTTATTATTGTGGAGTGCCTTGTTTATCTCTCAGTACCTCCAATCATAGCCTTGCCCCTTTTCTCCTCAGGATCAGTGTAGTTGTTGGAATGAGGTTTTGGACTCAGCAATGTATTCGTTTACATTTTAATACATGTTTATTGTTCCTCCTTTGCTGTGTTGTTTTAGACAATCGTGGACTAACAGTTTGAAGTCATTGAACTACTTCCAAAAGTTGTATCGACATCAACAGGATTACGATTTCAGTTTCAATATTATGCTGGATGACCTTATCACGATAACCCATGACTATAAACCATTATAAAAACAGAATCAACAAAAACATCTGCGACACGCACCTGGCGCATGGCTACATTTCTCAAATAAATCTGATTGAGGGTGGAGAAATCTGAAATATCTGAAAGGCAAGACAATTTTATGACAGTCATGAAATTCTGCAACAGCAACATGCACAGAATGACCTCCGTATAAAAAAAGTATCACCGCCACTGCTCACATGTTTCCCCGCAGAAGAACATGCATTATGCTAGTGCCATTTTCTGCAAGAAAAGGCTTGCATGTCAATGCGTATAATAATTATGGTATTGATATGATGTGAAGGCCATCATTTACATATTGATATAGGGCATTCCATTGATTGGTGACAGAAAAAACAAAAGAAATTATAGCAATAAAAACTGCTTTATGGCAGTTTTCTAAAAAAAGTTATTGAGTTCTAGTCTATGGACCCCGTCTAAAAAGTAAGAAATTAACGAAATGTGATAGCTGAAAATTAAAATTTCACACAAAACCTCACAATAATCACACACAGAATGAAAAGCTACATGCAGAAGACCTTTTCCCCTCGTGATCCTCTTTCCTATGCATGCATGTATTGTTGCCACTTTGATTGTTGGTGCCGCACAAGTTTAGTGTTGAAAGCAGCATTTCAAGTGTTGTGATTATTGTGAGGTTTTGTGTGAAATTTTAATTTTCAGCTATCACATTTCGTTAATTTCTTACTTTTTAGACGGGGTCCATAGACTAGAACTCAATAACTTTTTTTAGAAAACTGCCATAAAGCAGTTTTTATTGCTATAATAATCCTTGTTTCGCTCTTCTGTGTAGTGTGAAGAGGTCAACGAACATGTAGAGCTCACTTTGATGAAGTAGGCAAGGCTGTGAGCGCTGTGGCTCAAAGCGATAGGCCCTAAATCTTACGAGATATTTCGAGTGCTATTGTTTGTTGCGAGCGCTTCGTCTTCGATGAGTCCTGCCTCTTTCCTGGCAGCTGCCCTCCTATAGGACCAACCACGAAGTGACTGTACTCAGCCGATCAATGTTATATTGCACAAGAAGATATCGTTTTCGCCAAGCCAGTGCCCCGCCAAAGACCATCGCCGTGTCACACCGTCGGAACGAGTTCATGATGAGAAACATCATTCGCGCGAGCGTGATGAAGAAATATTTCGAAAGACAACATAGTCTTTACCCCCGGGACGACAACTATGTGCACGTCCTGCAAGGGGAGAATGTCACCAGCGACATCAACGAAGACGACGGCAGCATTTCGGAAACCTGGAGGCAGCGGAGGTCGTCAAGCTCCTCCGCGACCCGGTACATGTACAGTATGTGACATGTCGACACGAGCGTGCGGAAACACAGCATACTCTGTAGTACTGTTGCGAGAGTTTGCGGAAGGAGTCCAAGTCGGGAAATCCATCAGCTCCAAAAGCTACCTGTAGGTGGGCGATGAGACTCCAGCTTCAGACTACAACAGTCAGGACTTGTAAATAGTTGAACTTTGTGAAGCATCAGATCGAGAAGTTAGCTGAAATCGTAGCTGTTGCAGTATGTCGGCGCTATGTAGCTTGCATTTTTTACGGAGAGTCGATCGCCACGCGAATGTTTCTCTCCTCACCGAGAGCTATCTGGCCTCCAAACTCCGTCAGGGTCTGCCTAAGGCACCGAAGGTCCTTTGACTAGTTGCTGGCAGGACTCCATCAAATCCTTTAGCTTCAGCTCGGCGAGCAAAAGTCTCTCTCTCCTCCGCCATGAGCTGACACACACAAACTGAATACAAAACGATACACTTCACACGTGCTGGCTTGCACGCGTGCCCCCTTTCACGAACCCAGACAATCTTTTCGGGATTGGTCTATTCCCAACATTCTTTTGATCTGCCGTGATTTTTTTTTTTTTTAATTCTTCGGAAAACACTGAATTGAGACAAATATATGACGCCATGCTAGACTGATGACTATGTGGAAGGTAATACCGCAGTAATGAGAGTTCACATAATAATAGCAGCAATTCATCATGTATCGTGTTTCAAGACTGTGTTCGAAACTTCATAGCAGTTTCTCCAACTGCAAGAATCGTGCAATTTTGTAGGGAGAGTCGGCTACAGCTTGACTGACGGATGGAGACGACTGAAGAGCTGCAGAGTGGCGGCTTTGTGCTCTTCCTGGGCAGTCGAAAAGGAAGTGCATTGCATCCTCGACGACGCCAGGGCAGAAGACACAGTGAGGCGAGTCTGCAGCTCCAATGCGGTGGAGGTAGCCATTCAGAAGACTACAGTGGCCGGTCATCAGCTGGTTCAGCTTGCAGGACCGTGATTTGCCGACCCGTTTGCAGCACTTCAGCGTCAAGGCGCATAGCGAGCCGACTTATCTTTTAAGTTGCAAAACTCGACGGGGCGCTAGAGCACCCGAATTTTCCATCAACAGCTAGGCGTGCCAGTGCAGTATGATGTATTATCATCAAGAGCACATGGGGATATTAAATTTTAGTATTATTTACTCTTGATATAATGCATATCCTTGACTAAATTCACCAGCACACGAGAAGTCCATCGAACCTTCCACTCGACAAACCTCCAAGAAAGCACCACTCCCTGCTCAATACACGGTGTTCCGGGGAACTCACCCCTCATCAGTTGAGCTTGAGTAGGCTGAGGAAGATTGTGCCTGAAGAGCACCACTTATTTAGTGCTCTCCAGCAAGAGTTCATGTACTCTTGTCTCCAGGCACAAACGTCACCAGGGATACAAACTTACAGAGACGCTCCGTTTCCAGCGCGACAAACACCTCGTGAACACCAGATAGCAGCGTGAGTCAGTGTCGCTCATGGAGGTGCAGAACAAACGCTGAGGACCGCTGGCCATTCACAACGTTGTTGCCTCCAAACCATCTAATTCGCAAGCCTGCGCCGGGGACAACAATGTGAAGAAGAGGTTGGTGCGACTTCGGCGATACTTGGGGAATCGTGTGTTGCGTTTGCGATCCTCAGCGTTTGTTCTACTCAAGCTCAACTGATGAGGGGTGAATTCCCCGATACACCGTGTATTGAGCAGGGAGTGGTGCTTTCTTGCAGGTTTGCCGAGTGAGTGGAAGGTTCGATGGACCTCTCGTGTGCTCTGGATGGCAGCCGTGAGTCAGTCAAGTGAGAAGTCAAGTCGGCAGGAATAGCGCAAGCTCCCATGTAGGGAGCAACACACACTTTGCCAAGTATCACCGAAGTCGCACCAACCTCTTCTTCACCTGCTATTAAAGTTTTAAAAAATTTCACCTGCTATTAAAGTTTAAAAAAATCATAACAGGAAAACGAAAGTTCCTTTTTACGCTGGCCGAGTTTCTAAGCATACTTGCGTAGGTTGTCAAGGTAGCGGTCACACGGATGTGTGCCATTATCTTTGTTCAAGACAATGGCGTCAGTACAAATCAAGAAGAAAAGACATTGCATGCGCACGTGACCTCTCCGACACGATGTCGTACACGTGACAGCAAACAGGAAACACAAGAAAAAACAGATATTATTATCTAATTTATCTTGCAGCAATCCATTGCAACTCAAGCAGACAATAAGGGAGAGAGAATGAGCGTGAGTGAGTGAGTGAGAGAAAGAGAGTATTATCTGAGAGAGAGAGAGAGAGAGAGAGAGAGAGAGAGAGAGAGAGAGAGAGAGAGAGAGAGAGAGAGAGAGTGTGTGTGCGTGTGTGTGTGTGTGTGTGTGTGTGTGTGCGCGCGCGTGCTTGTGTGTGTGTGTGTGTGTGCGAGAGTCGGTCCTTTCAGGACCTGCCATCATCTCGATGGGCATTATTGTATTGTATTGTATTGTGTGCGAGAGAAAGAGAGAGAAGGAACTTACAACTAGTATGAAAAAAATGTACTTCGAAGTAAAAACAACACTACTAAAATACATCCGCTAGGTTTGCCGGAGTGAGCAAGACCAAGCAGGTGACATGCGGTTAAAGAGAAAATTTCAATTCTGATGATTATGATAATGACGATGATGGTGATGATGCTGTTCGCTGCTGACGGAAATATGAGCAAAATTTCAACTTGTATAGACTCGCATCATCAGTGTATGGCATACATGTACATTGCAGAGTCAAATCAATGGCGCACGCAACGGTCGAAACAAAAAACCGAAAACAGGGGTCGAAAATGCAGCCTGTACCATCAGTAGCGATTCGAATCAAACCAATACACAGCGGCGCATTTGCCAGTGAGCTAGGCCACCAGCGAACAATACTGTGGTGATGCGAGAACATGTGAAAACATCGCTCCGAGCTGCTGCCGCTGGTACTGCTGCTGAGGTGGCTGCTGCTGCCACCATCTCGGTGGCTCTTTTAAAAGTCTAAACGGTAGAAATTGTGCACGTGCAGAACAAAACTATGGTGCATTGTTAGAAGTGTGAACGTACATGTGCACTGGAGCATCATGGCGGTACAAATCAATACGGCTTGCTAATTCCATTCAATCTATGGGTTTCTCTGGTCTGCGGACGCAGGAATAAGTGACGAGAGAGAGAGAGAGAGAGAGAGAGAGAGAGAGAGAGAGAGAGAGAGAGAGAGAGAGAGAGAGAGAGCACTGTGTTTACTTATCAAGACGCACGTCAGTGAAAAGTGGAAGCCCCTGCAGTCGAGGACGCGAACAGTGGCAGATTTCTCATTGCAGATTTCTCCTGCCGCTCTTGTGATTGATGTTGCTGCTAGCTGTCCCTTGGTGAAGGCGCTATGTTGGCCCGTTCACGCGCTATGCATGCTCTTAGCAGGGTGGTCATCAGTATTTCAGGGCAGCGGCCGGTGTGCATTGCAGCCTGTCCTGGTATACCATCGCACAGGCTGGTAGCGTGCATGCGTACGTGCGGACGTCCAGACGTCCAGAGTAAGCGACGAGGGGCGGAGAGCGGCAGAGACACTGCTTCTGGCTTCTCGCGGTAGCCGCGCTCTCACTGAGATGAGTGCAGGACTTGCAGCGTCGGTCACGTGGCACAGCTACTACAGTGTACTGGGCGACGTGGCAGGCAGCACTACGAAGACAACCGATGCATTGTGAGGTAATACAGCAGCACACATGGTTGTACAAGAGTCGGACTGATTGGTCAAGACGGTCGGGCTGAACGCAGGGTAGTGCACAACCAAGCTAGGCGATCAACCGGAGAAAATCTCGCACCGGGACACTGGGAATACGCAGACCGGATTAAGTGCGCGCTTGCACACAAAACATACATGCACAACTGCATACACACACACACACACGGACATGTACGCAACGCTCCAGACGCAAGAACGGCACAGCAGAACCAGCATCAGTATGGCATGACATGACGCTCCTGATTACTGATTATCGTGCTGTCGCAGCTCGGCTGCTTGCAGATGCCGCAGCCTCCGCAGACGTAGCATTTCAGCCTCTGTGCTATCTTGGTGGCCTACAGCAGCAGATAACAAGAGTGACGAAGATGGTGATGACGCGAGATATTCATCTCCAGTATCATTTGTTGCCTCAGCACTGCTGAAAGGAGGATGTGACGAGTCGTCATCGGCAGCCGGTATGACATCCAGGTCATCATACAGTGGACGGGCACTCGCATTACTCGCATGCGCACTACTTGAACTTGATTGGTCACTTCCCACATTATCACCATGGTGATGAGTTCCCGGCTGCACCGTGCCAGCAGATACAGCCATGGCCTCGCCTGCAGTAGCCATACCAGGCGAGGAACTGTGAAATGACGTAACCGGTGATGTCATGGAATCCAGCGATGACATCATGCCCCCTGGTGATGATGTCGTCGTGGTGGTGGAGGCGGATAGCTGTGCCATCCGTGCCTCTGTGTCCGCCAGCTCTCTCTCGGTCCGCAGCAAGTATCGCCTGCATGCACGAGACGCGTGCACACATTCGTATGCACACATGTGTATACACACATCCACATCCACACACACGCACACACTCACCCACGCGCGCACATACACACACACACATACACACACACACACACACACAGACACA